CTCCCGGGCGCGGGGACTTTTCGTTCCGTGCATCTGGCGCGGATTTTCCCTTTCGCCTCCTGAGCTGCGTCCAGGACCGGTACCCGGGCTCCGTCGCACCGTGGTTCGCAGGTTCAGCCCTCTTTAGGGTCCCTGTTCGGGCGCCATTTGTTGCGACGGAGGGAAGACATGGACACTCGATGCGAGTGATCAGCAAGCTTCGTTTATTCAGTGATACAGTTGTCTTTTATAATCATTATAATTAGCTCATACATATTGCAAAAGCTAAGCTCATCATTGGTTTGGCGTTAGTAGTCGATTTCCGGATTATCAACAATAGTTCCTTCTCTGCGGTCAACTATACCCTGTTGTTTTATAATGTGTACAGCCAAGGACGGTTAGTCCTTATCAACAACTAAATTAGCGGTGTACGGTGTTTCCCAAGCTCCTGCTTGGCCAGCTGGCTCATGTCTACATGACCTCTCTCAGCGAGCCAGTTCTCCACAGTGTTCCCCTACCTGTCTTCTGAGATGAAAAACACATCTGCTCTTGTGAAAAAACAGATAGTCATCGAATCAGTAGCATGCCATGCTACTGTCTGGTATGCTAATATTTTCTTATTATTCCCCTATCTGAATCCACCTGTGGTCTAAAAGACCCAAGTAAAACTTGGGCTCAAGGTTCTGAGGGCCGGGATGGACCTGTTGTTCTGTGCTGTTACTGGCACCAGCACAGACCGTGGTCCACAATGGGGCATGAGTGTACAAGTCCTACGTGAAGCATGCATGGCTCCCTAAGCCATCCCTGCACCCCGATGCAGCCTTGGGGAACAGGGCGTTATTTTCCCACTGCCGCGCCTGTCACGGACACTGGCCATCAAATCCCAATCAGCTGCTATTTGTCTAAAATTTAAAAAAAAAAAGTCATAGGCTAGATGGTAAACTACAGAATCCGTACGAGCCATGCACAGTGAATCTGTGCTGAGTGTGATCTGTTCTTATGGTTTTGCCCGATAGCGCAGGGTAGGAGAATCGGAACGCGATGACCTGGATAATCGTTATTGAGCTGCCTCCGAATTAAATCCAGGGAGCCAGCAGGTGGCTCCGTCTTCCTTACGATCTGCAGAAAAGCAAGAAAGTGAAGGAGCCATTGCCTGAAATATGTGTTCAGCAGTGGCTGGAACCCAGCAAAGGCTGCAGAAGGGTTTCTCAGAGCTCGAGTGCAGGCTGAAGCGGTCTGGGAAACGAGCTCAGAGTTTGCAGCGTAACACAGGAGCAAATGGGGAAGGAGTGAGATAAAAAGAAAACAAAAAAAAAACATTGTTCTGTCCAGCAGAGCTGCAGCCAGAGGAGGGATTATCTCCCGGTGTGTGGTTGCAGAAGGGGTTGTGCAATGCCCGGAAGGTCCACATGGGCTAACCTGAAATAAGAGGGGTGGCTAATGCGGAGAAGGGGACCTCAGCGCCCAGAGCCTTTCTGTCACTGCTCAAGCGACCAAACGCTAACTGGTGAAGCTCAGCGACATGCAGAGGACTAGCCTGAGGTCTGGGTATCTCCCAGCCTCTGCTTAGAATCTGCAGTAAGGGTGCGAGTGAGATATGAGCCTTGTGCCAGCCCTTCCATACTGGTGTGATGTGACTGGAGTCCTGCACTTCTACTGTTGGCAATTCAGCACATTGTGTCCTGACCTAAAACTGCTGCAACAGCTTCTGTATGGCCTGTAAGTCATGGGGTTCTCGTCCTTGCAGGCATGTCATGTATCCGGCAGTGGTGAACATTTTGTTTGGGAAAGGCATCTGCCCAACAAATCAGAGTGAAATCAAGGAGTTTGAAGAACATTTTCAGAAGTACGATGAGGACTTCGAATACGCTTCTCAGATGCCCGAGTGCTTCCTGAGGTAACAGAGCAGAGATGATACACAGGTGCAGCACAGTACTTGCTGGGATATGAACCGTGAGAGACATTTTCCCTGTAGGATGATGTGCTGTCTTTATCGATGGCGCACTTTTGCGCCAGGGAGGCTTTCAGCTAGTTGCTTCAAAATAGGTCTGACCTCGTCTCGTGCATTTTCCTGGCATAAAGCAGAAACAATCTTGCTTAGGTGGGCAGGGTCCAGCTTGGACCTGTCAGGGAGCAGCAGCTGGGCAAAGGGCAAAGGCCTGAGCCTAAATGTGAGTCCCACAGTGAAAACCTGTAGTGGAATAGATAGGAAAATCTAGTCTTGCAGTCACAGGTCCTGGCTGCAAGATGAGGTCTGGCCAAGGTGAAGTCAACACTACTGTCAGTCAGATTGACACTTGACTATTCATCAACTGACTGCTGCCCAAGGGCTTTTGGAAAGAAACCAAGGAGTCCTTCTCATGGAAAAGGAAATGTTGGTTTGTGCTGCCTCAGTTAAGTGCTTCTTGTTTGTTGCTTTTCTTTACAGGAACTGGTCTAAATCCAAAAAATGGCTTCTAAAATTATTTGAGAAAGTCGTATCAGATGCTGAAAGGACCAATCCTTCAGAGACCACATCCAAGGTAAACAACTGAGGCTATGAAATAAGATGACTTCATTGTATATTCTGACTGAAGGAATGGAGGGCAGGAATTGGGGGGTTGGACTAGATGACCTTTAAAGGTCCCTTCCAACCCAAACCATTCTATGATTCAATGATTCAGTTATCTGAGTACTGGAAGAAATAAGCCAAATATGTCAGCTTTGAAAGCTGGACCTTAACTGTCCAGTATTGGTGTCACCTACATTAGGATAAGCCCATAATTTTGAGTCCTACTCCTCAATTTAGTTTATTATTTCCAACAATTCTGAGAATGGACATCTTCCACTGGGGAATTTTAAGCCAAGGGTTCAGAGCTATGACCCATCGCCAGCCTCCGGTATCGCAACTGCAGTGAGCAGTTGAAAGAGGTGAGAGAAAGACCTCTTCAGTTGTTTCTCTGAGGGCACCGTGCTGTGAAATTTCAAAACCTTACATGTACTATTTTTAGACGCTGGTGTAGAGTGAGTAGATCCTCCAGCAGCCAGACTAGTAGAAAATAGCAGATTACTGGATTGGAAGCCAAGTACTCTAAATATTGATTGTGTCAAAGCGGTGATAAGTTGTGCCCCTGGTTATTCTCCTTAGCTATGGCAGGAATTCTGTCTATACGCCTGACAAACGTGAGGGCAGACTGGCCTGGGAATTTTGATCTACCCAAATGATTCTAGAACAGATCATTAAACAAACCAGGTTTTATTTAGACTTTAAAAGCTTTACATACCACAATTTCTTTCATAAAATAAACCAGAATAACGGAAAGAAAGAGAGGGCAGGAGAGGGGTGGTGAGAGGTAAGAAGGTGCAGGAAGTAGGAGGCACAAACTCAGTGTCTTAGATTAGGTGGGAATTTGGAAAAAAGAGCAGTCATTTTTTGTTCAAGTGCATCCTTTTCCCATCTGAAAAGTAGACAGGGAGCTTTGTCTTGCATGCATGGTTGCTCTGTATTTAAGGAAATACTACAAACAAAAGCTGAGCCTAGAACATTACACAGTTGCTATAGTTTCAAAGAGTATCGAGCCATTGCAGTCACTGGTTAGGTCACTGACAAAGCTCCTGCAACTAAGGAGTTTGCTGATATATCAGACCATCTCTTCATAACCTTTTTCGCAGGAACAGAGAGAACATTTTCTGCATTTCCATTCATTCAACTTGTTCAGTCCCATTTTCAGGTTCTTTAGAGAAGTAGGAATTAAAAAGGAATACAGATTTCTTTTTCCTTTCTTCGACATACAAGCAACAATGGGGAGTGAGGGAACCAGACAAAAAACTGTAAGGAAATGGAGGGCAGTGCAAGTGTTCAGTAGGGATTTACGTGGTGCATTGACTTCTTCTGGCCCTCTGCCTGTGAGTCTCACTTCTCGTAACAGCTGTCATCTCTACTTTGTGACTGCAAAAAACCTCGTAGTTTATCTTTGATAAACTAGTCTTACGTTATATCCTTGAATTCTAGTAAGCCTTACCCTAAACTAGATTTTAATATATATTTGGAAATACACATTATTATCTTTTATTTATAACAGACACTACTGCAACATCTCCTGGATAACTTGCAAGGAAAACATCTAGCTCCCAATTATGGTCTCCTCATGCTCTGGGCTTCCCAAGCAAATTCTGTCCCTGTAAGTACGCCAGCTAGAGAAACACCTTCTCTCTCTCCTGTTCAAAAGCCTGTATTTGGGAAGCAAAGACTTTGAACCAGAGGTCACACACACTGCACGTATTCCAAAGAAGGGATTATCATGCTCACATGCATCACTACAGATATACCCAGGCTGCAATGTCACAGAAGCAATGACAAGAAAAGCTCTTGTATTTTTCTGAAATTGTGATGTCCCCTGTCATAACATTTTGGGAACATGTGTCTCATAGATGTTAAGATCACAGTCTTAAGCTGTGAAGAGCATTTAACTCTACTTCGAAGCACTGTGGCTGTATTATAGTAGAGTCTCTATTTTAAATAGCCTGGTGTTACCAATTGTAAAGAATATCAAAAGCATAATATAGAGTAACTTCATCTGTGTGCAAATCCTTGAGTGAATTTGGCTCTTTCGCTTTTGGGGATCTGCTGTACAAATGCCAGTGTTGCTTCAGGGGAAGAAAAGCAATAGTTTGATTCTACTACCACTTAAGTTTTGTGTATGTCAGAAAGGGATTTGATGGATTAGTGACACAGATACATGCATGCTAACAAGCCCAATATATCTAACACAGCTTAGGCTGACCAAAGACATTTATAGGAACTTCTCAGATTAAAAATCTATAGCAGCAAAAACATCCTTTATTTACCATGACTACTAAGCTCTTTCCAGCACAGTTATGTCCAATTACAGATGTGATTTAGAAAAAAAATGATAGTCAGTTATTTTTATATGTACTCCTAAATGGATATATCTATGTTTTTGTAGATTGGATATTACTACAATTTACCCTAAAGGAATTTCATCCATTTCAGTGAGGTTTCTGTGGATTCACATGTTGGTATAAGCAAGAGGTACAGCCTGCTGTCTGTTATCAGGATAACTGACATTCCTTCCACGACTTTATCATTACTTACTTCTGTAATATTCAGCTGTAAATAGACATACAGATATTTTGTTCTTTCTCAGAATAGTCACAACCACTGTTCTGGTGACTGGAATGATGAAAAAAGGCCTTTCACCTTCCAAGGGGACTTTTTACAAGCGTGTTAATCCCTTTTATCTGAAAGAATTCCACCTCAGCCCACGAAGTGAAGCCACGGTGTACAAGAAAACTAAGCTACCAGATTTGTTTTGCAGAAGGAAAACTGCATCCATGTGGGGCTATTTAGGAAATAATAGTAAGAGTTCTCATCCCTCAGCAGCACAGATGGCCCACGACCAGATCTGTGTGCAGACTGCATCTCCCGCTAGCTCAGCAAGAGGAGAGAGACTCCTGGCAGTGCTGCGAGTCCTTCTGGTTTCATCCTACTTAAGAGGATTTTCTCCTTTCCTAAATTTCTTGATTTTCAACTTCATTGCATAATCAGTTAGCAAATTATTTCTAAAGAGGATATACTACTGCTTGTTTTGCTGTTAATTAAACCTTTTCCTGCTCTTTTTAATGTGACTCACTGTTACAGTGCCCTGAAAATTATTTAACATAATTTCTGCTAATATTAGTAAGAATTTACTATTTAATTTTTTTCTATTCTTGCAGCTGAATTTAATCACACACAATGATTTAGTAATTCATTTTAACACCTGTTTATTTGAAATAAAAAAAAGGATTCTGTGTTTCAAAGCTCTATAATGTTCACTGAAGGTAAGTACACAGCAGATGACTAGATCTAATCTCCGAGGATCCCTTAGACGTGGATTTACCTGGGAAGCACAGCTCCCTGTGCATCCCAACAACAACAGGCACATGCAAAAAAGTGCAAATGTTTTCACCTGCCTGTGATTTGCTACAAAGATACTGTAATTCTGTTCCATATTCCTGATTTAAGTACTTTCATCTCTGTTTAGATTGCATTTTGGACCCTTGTTTTCATACTCTCTTATCCTTCCATTTACAAGAAAATCATGGAAGATCTGGCTTCTGTTTTTGGCAAAGCAGGTAATAAATCCAATCTTCTGGGACCTAGAAATCATTTATTCTGTGTTGGCTCAGCACATCGCCAATGGTCAATGGCTGGGAATAGTGAATGTTGCTGCTGAGGGTACTACTGATAACATAGGGTACAGCTTTGAGTTCTTTATTCAGCATACGCACAAGATATATTTTTTAAACAAAACCACCTTGGATGTTAGCAAAAGAACCGTGTGTATTTATCTCTTCATTCTACACCTATCATTTACACCTAGATTTGTATTAACCAGTCTTGTGCTTTTTTCATGCATCTATGATAGGGTCAGCTGAGGTTTTTCAATTCAGCTGCTTTTCATGGTGTGGTGTTCATCAAAGCTACAGCTATTCTGTGGAAAGAATGGGCTAGGAACTGTCCTCTTTTCTCTCATCTGAGGCCAGTTTGTCCAGCATGATTCACTGCCACATGGCTAATCTCTTCCACAAAAAACAGTCACCTACTGGGAGCAGGCATTCACCTATGCAGTCCCCTGAACAATGCTTAGACTTTCATGGAAGACTCTTAATTGACATGGGTCAAAACCACATCAAGGAACATGTCAATAATTAACCAATAAAGATAATTATGACCCAGTGCTTAAGCCTTTCTCCTGTCCCTGTCTTATTTGCTAGTGTTAACATAGCCCAAGAGCTCAGCCACGGCTTCTTGTCTTGGTGCCTACAGTCCCTTCGATTTCTATGCAGTGTTCTACCAAAGTACCAAAAAAGTCCAGGGACTCTTAACTTCCAAGATGACCGTTGTTTGGCCTCTTCTGGCCATGCCATATCTACAGCTACCTTAGAGTTATTAAATTATCTTCAGTGGCTTTTCTTAAATTGTACTGATTTTGATCCATTTATTTACTTTGAACTATAAAGAAAATTTCTGGGTGTAAACAAGGTCTTAAAGTCTTGATGTACTCTATCAGAAGGCGTAAAGCAAGACATGTCAGCATGTATCAAAACAAGTATGAAATCTAATTTTTACACGGAGTTTTCTTTCTCATGCCACAACAGGTAAAGCTGAAATAGAAGTTTCTGAAGAGGACCTTAAGAAGCTCCCTTTTATTAAATGGTGCACTTTGGAAGCCATACGGCTGAGGTCTCCAGGTGCAATCACCAAGAAAGTAGTAAACCCAATAAGAATTCAGGTGAGTTTCTTTTTTTTTTCTTTTCTTTTTTTTTTCCCCCAAAAGGATGCTGTATGATTTGTCTGGAAAGTGGCCTCCCAATAGATCTAGATAAAATTAAAATAGTAGAGATATTCCACAATCTCACATATATCTCCTGTTTAGTTTAACAGATTTTTTCATCATCATTATTTTAATTGTCATTAATTTAAGAGTGGTTTTACTTCTTTTGCTCATAGTCTTACCTTGAGTTTTGAATTGAATTTAACTGAAATTTAATTGAGCTGGAGATACTGTGCTGGTAGTATATGAAATAGTAATCAGACACAACAAATACAGTAAAAGGCACCACAATTTAGTAACTGATATAAGTCCTTCTTTTCTGTTTGTTCTCTTCAGTGCCACTTAGAGGGGAAGTGCCAGCATTCAGGAGTCTAACAAATAAATGTTTCAGAGAGAAACATTGTCTTCTAAGGGATTAGCACTCATGCCCATTGAAAAAATTACTAAAGTCCCATAAAGGTCTATTGTCATAGAAGTCTTTCTGTGAACTTCTTTGTGTTTTGAAGGAAGTGCCCAACAAAAGATTTAGAAAAAAATAGCAGTTCACATGGTACATCAAGAAGTGGGAAAGACAGAAATAATGTTTCTGTTATTTCTATACCTGAAAAACCAAAGGAGAACAAAAATAGTCTGTCCACATTCTCCACTGTTTAGGCCTTATGGAAAAAAGGGCAACAGCAAGAAAAAAAGCTGCAAACATGTAATATGCCCACCCCGGCTTTACCACCTTCAATTGTTCTCTGTCAGTACCTTCTGCTGATGGACGAGAAGTACTAAGGAAGGACTGTTTTGTGAGTTGAACCCGTGATTTTCTCTTTTCTTAGAGTTTTTTCTCCTTTTCAGAATTTCATCATCCCTGCAGGTGACATGCTGATGTTGTCACCATATTGGCTGCACAGGAATCCAAAATATTTTCCTGATCCAGAAATGTTCAAACCTGTAAGTTGTCGCTCTTAGCCTGGGTATTTTGCTGTCTTTCCTCCACTTCACCTACTTCACAACAGATGCACATGGACAAATTGGCTTCAAGTTGGTATTCCCCACCGTCTGGAGGATGGCCTTGTAGACAGAAAGTGTGCACAAAAAGGAGGAGCCTGTAGGAATAAGCAAGACTTTAAAGTTCAGTTATATATTCCAAATCATATGGTACTACTTTCTGTCACTTTGATCTTGATTCAAAGCCCACCATGGAAAGACCCCACTGATTTCACTGTTGAACCCAACTCCAAGTACTCTCCTCTCCCTGGCATCTGTCTGTATAGCTCATCTCCACGTATTTACCCAGGCTCATCGGTCTTTCCAGTCAGATGATTTCTGGTAGGTATTAGCTCTGCTAATTCAGCAGCTCCTCTAGAGTTTCTTGATTATTATTCCACTCCACGTGGCAGTGTGGGCAGGCTTGTAACTGCTCTTTTTAGCACCATCTGCAATAGAACAGTTTGTCTTTTTTATAGAAATACATCAAGGAGTAATTTAAACAAAACTTGCCTTCTAGAAAACTTTTCAGCAGTTTGAAATCCCTCATAGCAATTCCTGCTTGTTTGAAACCCTAAGCAGAAACCTTGATGCAGCAGCTTATTTCTTTAGTAACCTTATTCCTAAAAGGCAAGCTACCTTGTTTTTGAGAAACTCACCCTTTTTCCATGAGGAATAGGTGAGTATCCCTTGGACATTGCCATTCTAAATGATATCGCCTCGCTTCACCACTGCTGAGACTTTTTTCCTTGCCTTTACTGGATTTTGATGCTACAGGTTTCCTCTTCAGAAAGCTCTAACCAGCCCAAAGTGAAAAAAATCCAAAATAAACAAACACAAGATTACATCTTCTCTAAGACAGTTTCATCAGAGGAGGTAGCCACTATAAACTTGGCAGGGGGTTATTTGAAGGCCTTGGTAGAGTTGCACTGAGTTTCTGGAGGCTGGTATAGTTTGTCACCCAGCATTCAAGAGATTTACTTCTGTCAGTGTCACCCACCCAAACTTTAGCTGATATTGCTTTGCTCCTCATGTTGTTCCTTTTCTCTTAAAGCAACTCAGGAGGGAGCAAGGAGCCCTCTGGGTATCTACAGGCTGGTTTTTCTCAAGCTCATACACCTTGCACTTATCTGTGCACAGCATCTTAGAAATGGTTTCTGTGCAAGACATGCGTGAGCCGTTTGTGTGTCGTGATATAGTTTTGTGGCTGAGGGAAGGTAACGGTTGGACATTTGCTTTGGATGTGCATATATTTAAAAGGAAAAAGGTCTCATTTTTATAAGCATTTCAATAGCTCAAGAAACAGGATTTAGAAAAATGGGGAGGTATAGGAAGAATGCTTTAGGGGTGCTTTTGAAAGCCTCTCCAGCACTAAGTATTTATTAAATGGGACCCTCATGTCTTTCCCTGAGTTGGTGCTGACTTTTGAATCCAGACTCTAACACTAACAGGTTGAATGCAAAAAACGGCATTAGTGCAAATTCGTATTGAGGATTAGCTGTCCAGGGTCATTTTTAGCCTGGAGAAATAAAGCTAAGCTTTATTTATATAAAGCCGATTTGGAAAAAAAAAAGTTTCTTCCCACAGGATCGTTGGAAAGAGGCAAATTTAGAGAAGAATGCTTTCTTGGACAGCTTTGTGGCATTCGGAGGAGGGAAGCATCAGTGTCCAGGAAGGTCAGTGAAACAGCTGGCGTTTATTTATTCCCAAACCCTGCAGAGAAAAACTCTCTTGAACTGGGGTCCTCTTGCACTTGGAGATAAAGTGTTTTCATTGCTTTGCTCTTTGTCAGTCCCCTAATGTTCAGGATTATCTGGACCTTGTTTAAACTGATTTGAAAGTGGTTTCATTCCTGGAAAGGACAGGTTAAGTCACAGTAAAAGCAGAATCTGAGACATCAAGGGATGTCCCCCAGGGAGGAAGTCAGCCTAACTCTGCTGCTGCTGAGGCACCTTTTCATCACGGGAGAATTGTTCCACTTACAACCATGCAAGTTTACAGACACGGGCATTTAGGTTGCCATAAACCAGTTCTAAACTAACCTAAAGAACGTTTTTCTGGTCTGAGACTCTCTTTCTATTCTCTGTGATGCCATTGACATCTTTGCTAATCTTCAAATGTCTTAACTGGCTCCTCTCTATTTAAATCTTGTCTTTGCATTAAGGCCCACGCAATTGTATGATGGCTTAAATTGCAGATCCTGTCTCTCTTCACTCCTCCAGCAATGCCAGCCTCAGTGCTTCCTGCATTCCTTCTGCTGTTTTCTCTGCTGTCCCTCTTCCTGGAACAAGTCCCAGGGAGCCAGCTGCTCCTCGTTTTTGTGTTCAAACATCTCTCTGCTCAGTTCTCAGCCTTCAAAACCTGGTCTCCTCTAAGAAGCAAGTAACCAAGAATCCTTTAAACTAGTCAGTTTAACTCCAGAGTCCCATGTGGAGGAAGGAATCTAGAGGGTGTTGCAGAGATCTGGATTCTTGAATCTGCGCCCTATAGCAGGCTGGACATGACTCGCAGATAACCTTTGTGAAGGCATTAAAGACATTAGCAAAATGAATAAAACTGCATTCACCATTTAGGCTTGCCAGAGGAAAGTGCTCACTCACTGCTGTACCTCCGTGACTTGTACCATAGTCCTGAGCTAAATATGAGCACAGCCTCATTGCCAGCAAGGGTGACAGCAGAATTCACAAAAAGCATCCGCAGGTACAGGACAAGCTGCAAAACAATGTTTCTGAAAGTTGCTTGTTTATATGGACTGACCTATTTCTTTGTTCAGGCTGTTCTCTGGACTCTGATAATATCTTTGAAATAAGTTTGTGGTTAGAAAGGACATGGTAACATTTCTACATAGACAATGGATGGAGAATCTTTTTCTTGCTGAGAAATGAAAGGTCCTTTCAAAGCCTTTGGCAGTCCACATGGTAAAACACACCTTCACGTTTTTCAGCAATAATCCTAAAAGAATAATGTGGCAGTCTTGGAAGAAAGGGAATCAAATCAAAGCATGTACCTAGATCCCAGGTTGCAGATTTCCTTGGTATGACTGAACGAAACAGTGATATTTCAAGTTTAAGGTGCATTTTCATTTAATTCAGTGCTGGCATTTGTAAATGAAATGTATGAAATGTATGAAACATTTCATTTCTCCATTGCAAAAGTTCATCATGAAATGAAAAGCTAATTTAATCAAACTGAAAGCTAGAAAATAATTTACTTGTCAAATATTCTATGAAACTGGTATGGGAAGAGCTCCTACAAAGCCATTTCTGAGCCATCTTTATTTTACTTTAGGTAAATTTAGGAAAAATTTGATGGCAATGAAGCTACTTTTGTCTAACCAAATGACTATTGCCTGTGTGACTGTGCTTACCTTGCATGACTCCATCTGTTGTCTCCTACCTTATGCTGACATTGCAAACCCTTCAGCACAATGGCAACGATTTCATTCTCCGACTCCATTTACTGCAGGACGTCAATCCACAGCTGGGCTCCTGGGTTCCAGCGCAACACCAATGCGTAGCAGTGCACTGGGGACGAGATTTCAGAAAGCTCATCTTTGTCAGCCCCCCTGGTCACGAAGTAAAACGGGAAGGCAGCAGAGTTCTAGGGGAGGCTCTAGGACTTGGTCATGAAAACGAAAGACAGGTGGGAACTAAGGGGCATTTAGATGGAAGAAACCTCATGGTTTCTGCTCAGTACCACGTGCTGTGGGAGAGAGGGACGCACTGGGACGCTGCGGTCCTGCCTTTTGCTCCTGGGCTGTCCCTCTGGCCACCCCGGGACATGTGTGTTGCTTGTCATCCATTGTGTCTCAGCACCTCTGTTTGCCGAGCAGAGTAACAGCAGCGTTCTCTTTGGAAAAGCACTTTGAGATCTAGGGGTGGGACACGCTGCAGTCAGTTGCGGTTATATCCATTGCCGCTCGGACCGATGGCAGATGAACCCCACGACAGGTACAGAGGTGTCAGAGCTGGTCAGCCCGCATCTGGCTGTGCTCGTGTTTGAAGGTCAGACCTTTCAGGGCCACTTAGAGGCATTTTGGCATTTGGCCACATCATGGTACCTCTGTGCCAAACCAGTGAGGCCGGCTCAGAGGCAGCACCTCAAGCACCAGGAGCGCAGGACCACACTGTGCAACCAGCACAGTGACTGTAAGGAGCCCACCTTTGTACGGTGCCGCCCGCGTGGCGTCTGGGCTAGCAAGTCCTGCCTGACCTGAGCTAATGTCCATTGAAATATCTCTGCACTGCATTCCCCTGAGCTCAAGGTCACCAAAAGCTCCCTATCTCAAGGTAATCCCAACGTGAAATCTCAGAGGTTATTTGGGTCTGAAGCTACGCCAAAACAAGCAAGCATCCTCCCGCTCCGGAGCGCAGGGCGGCTCAGCGCACAGATCTGGATGGCTCTGCAGGGGTTAGCTTGGGTCTCATGAGGCTTATTAGCTTCCCCTTCACGCCTGCCAGGCCCAGTCCAGGCTGACGCCATGCTCAGCCATGTGGCCTTCACCCTGGTGAATTCCCCAATAGCTGTTTTATCCAAGTTTTCCAGCATCTCTTAGATAATGGAAAATAAACTGTGTAGAAGGGCAAGGTAGTATTACTATTTTAACTAGGTATTTAAGACTTCTGTCTATATCTGCAAGTGAGTAATCCCACGATCTGGCATAGGTGCTTGCTAGTAACAATGCAGAAAGCTCCTGTACGTCTCAACATTAGAAAATAATAGCCTAGAGGATGTCACCTGCAGTTATCTGAAATCTTCTCCAGACTGATTAAGAAAGACCTTTCTTGAGAGAGTTAGAGAAAAAAAATCATGCCCTTGGGTCTCATACTGCTTTCTAACGCTGACGCATTAAATAACAACTCCCACTGTCACAGCTACCCTGATGTCATCAGGCTCCCAGCTGTATTATATAACTTTATATAGCACAATTAGTCATATAGCCTTTTCTATATTTGATTGTCTTCTCACTCCTATGAAGTTATTTCAAGTCAGCAAGCGTTACAAGAACATAAATGTTTACACAGTGGAAAAAAACATAATGATAAGGGGCTGTTTTAAAATAGGGTGTCAGAGGGATACTGTCGGTCTAAAGTTTCACCGGAAAGAAGGGGCAGCCGCTACATTTGGCGTTCTTCACTCAGTAATGGAGCTGAACAAAGCCACAGCATATTTTCCTACTGAAGATAAACTTTCAGGCAGAACTAGCACTGGAATGTAAAACATGTCAAAGACACCCCATTTCCTATCTGAGGAGAACAAACGTGTGATGGTCAGGCTGGACGGCCAACATTTTCCTCCCTTTTCTTGCAGGTGGTTTGCTATCATGGAAATCCAGTTGTTCATTGTGCTATTCCTATACAAATATGAATTTGTGCTTTTGGATGCAGTACCAAAGGAGGTAAAAGATCCATGCATTTATATAGCATTCCATGTCTTTATATCCTTCACTCATCACGCTCAGCTGAACAACCGTGCTTAACTGTGGTTATGTATAATGAAGCAAAACTTAGAGAGGAGTGTTAATAAAACACGTAATGAAGAACTCGATCTTCGTTTCAACTCAGAAAACCCAGAGTAACTCCAACAATGTTAGTGGGGCTGCACTGTCTATACAAGAAAGCGCCTACAGGACTATTTTGTCTCATCATTGCCTAAACTTTACAAGAGATTTTATAATTGCTTTCTGCCATTCACAACGCAAATGAATATGGAACTGGATTATTAATACTTTCAAGATATGAAATCAGATGCAGCACTTGCGGTGCTCTTCCACTATGTTCAGTGGGGGAAGAGAAATGATTAGGGTAAGACTGTAGGAGCAACGGGGACACAGAAAGGTTTTACCATTAAGGGAGAGTGGCACAGTTTCCACTCTCAGCAGTAATTTGCTTCTCCGTTTGCCCTGTGTCCTTTCCACTTTCCAAAAATCATTGTCTCTCACAAACATGGACTGCTGCGAAATCAGCATGTCTGCCCGTCGCAACCTAAACGTGACACGCATCCCCTATAGCTAAACTACCAAGGAGAAGAGGCAGAAGTTGAAAGTGGCATGGGCTTTGTATGATTGCTCTTTAGGCTGGAAGCTGGGAGCTGGGAGAACTTAATTCCTCTGCTCTCCTTGAAGAATGTGAGATGTTGATTCAAGAATTGGTAGAAAGTCCACCCAGAACAGGGAGGGAGGCTGCCTCTTCCTGACTGATGGTGTATTGCCACATCAGCTCTCACTGAAATTGATTGTAACTTGGGTCTGCACCCACAGCCAATTATGTTGGTGAAGGTATTCATTAGAGTTTCTAAAGATCTCATAGAAACATAGAATCACAGAACTGTTTGGGTGGGAAGGGACCTTTAAAGGTCACCCACTGTAAACCCCCTCCAGTGAGCAGGGACATCCTCAACTCAGTCAGATTGCTCAGAGCCCTGACCAACCTGACCTGGAATGTTTCCAGGGATGGGGCATCTACCACCTCTCTGGGCAACCTGGGCCAGGGTTTCACCATCCTCATGGTGAAAAATTTCTTCCTTATATTTCATCTGAATCTGCCCTCTTTTAGTTTAAAACCATCACCCCTTGTCCTGTCACTACAGGTCCTGCTAAAACGTCTGTCCCCATCTTTCTTATAAGCCCCTTACTGGCAGGCTGCAGTAAGGTCTCCCCAGAGCCTTCTCTGCTCCAGGCTGAACAACCCCAACTCTCTCAGCCTGTCCTCACAGCAGAGGTGCTCCATCCCTTGGATCATATGTCATCCTCTGTCAGAGTGAGTGGAACAAAAGGTAATCATGAAGGCTCTGCTCAATGGCTTCAGCAAAGGCAAGACTCACTCTCAGTATTTGGTCTTGGTTCTCTAAGACCAAAATTCCAAGAATATGTTTATATCTTAATATTAAAGTGTGATGATAATTCCATTAACTGAACTAACTCAAATATTTCTACTGATTTTTGTCTTTTTGCAGAGCCCTTTACATTTGGTGGGGACACAGCAACCCATGGCACCATTCCGGGTCCAGTATAAGTGCCGGGAATGAAAGCTGCCCAGCACTAACTTACCTTCCTCTGCCACCCACCCCTGGGCGGATGGATGGACCACTGAGCTGCTTCCGTATCCTACATCTTCAGATAGGTTCTCTGCCTTAACAGATCTTAACTTCAACTTTACACGCTGTACATACTCTGTGTTGTGTTACGCCACACCAGTATAGTTGTATCTGTGCTCCTCACCCGATCGCCTACCTCCTAGTATTTAAAAATCAAGCTCTCCTGCTGCATTGATAATTTGTGGGCCAAATATTCACAGATTTTGCAAATAACCGATATACTAAACTCACTAACCAGACATTCAGGACAAAAAGCTGCTACATTTGGAAATTCTGCATGGAAGTTGTGCTGGATCCAGGGGAAAAGCAGATCCCTTGGGCCAGGTCACTGCTTCCTTCAGGTGTCTGAACCAAGGCCAAAGTGGGGCCTGTGGTAAGAAATCAGGCTGGTAACTCCATACGCTCCCCAGTGCTGGTGTGCACAAAATACAGGACAGTGCTGAGCAAGGATCTCAGGATCAGATCCTCGGCCACAATAAACTAGCGTGACTTACATATCGCTGCCTGTGTAGGTACGTGAAGATCTGGCCTGCTCTGCCTACAGTCGGTGCCAACGTTTTGCAAACAAAATGCAATTGTAATGGAAAAATTGCAAGCATGGGAAAGACTGGGGTTTTGTTCCACTGGAGCACCTCAAATTTCTACTGAGCTTTATTTGCTCGACAGGATTCAGAATTCGTCCTTGCATGAATACGCAATGAAAGTTTGATCATGATGGTTGGTTTCTAATGAAAAGTGATTGCAAGAAAAGCTACTGCTATTCTTTAGACTGGTTGTCTAATATCTAGAACATTTTTGCTTTCCCTTTAATGTGACTTGCTTATAGAGCAAATTGCACAAATCTAAAAATATTGTAACTAGTAAAAGGTCTTCAAAGAAGCTGTCAAATGAGTTCAGATACCAACACTTTAACTGCTGTCAGATTTCATATACGATAATAGCTGGCATGTATTTTTAGTCTTTTAAGTAAAGATTATTCATCATTTTAGAAGTATCTGCAAAAAAACTCAAATGGACTTTCAACGACAGTAAAAACTATGGGAATAACATTCAGAGGAAAATAACACATTGTGTAATTCATTAGACGGTTGGCTTACCTCAGATATGGATACAACGATTTAACAAACTTCAGTGATTTATATGGCTGGAAAATGATTCGTCCAACTTCTAATTTAGCTCATAATGGTTAACTGTGCAGGAGTTGCACTCTCAAGTGCTCTTTCAGAATCTCTTCTATAACTGAAAACTATTCCCTTGGTTTTCATTTATGGTCATTACCCAAAAGTGTATATTTTAATTTTAAAAATTGGGAATGTCCACTACATCTTTTCAGGTATCTTGTAGTATTCTGAAGATAAATTTTTCCCAATGTGCATTTCTTTCTATTTTCTGTTTAATTAATTTTGGCGCTTTTTTTTTTTTTTTGCATGTGTGTGTGGCTTTGTTTTGAGTGTTGTTTTTTTTTCCCAAGAGGTAACGCAAAAAGCAAAATTCTGTAATGGCAAACTTGACTTTAAACTAAAAATGTCACTAAATGAAAGTACAACCTGAAGGTCATTATCAATTTGGTTAGAATGAATAAAAGGCACCTGAAGCTGGCTAAGACTGTGAATATTTACTGACACACCATGCACATGGCTTCTGATCTGTCTAAAACAGACGCACAACTCTGGTGTAGTTTCTGCATATTTCTGAGTTTTTCAGACTTGATGTGATCTTGTACCTGATGAGAACTACAACCTGTTTCCTTCCACACCCTGCAAGAACAGCCTGTGGACTATGTTAGGGTATGTGATAAAGACCACTTTCCTCCCCATAAATAGAGGAGCAGAGGAGCAAAAGCAGGTGGGGACCCTGAGCAGTGCCCTGCCCAACACCTCCCAGGGCTGTCCGTGTCCAGAGGTGACACCCATCAGCAGCAACAAGGAGCCACTCCAACAGGGATGATGGTTTTAAACTAAAAGAAGCCAGATTCAGATGAAATATAAGGAGGAAATTTTTCACGATGAGGGTTGTGAAACCCTGGCCCCGGTTGCCCAGAGAGGTGGTAGATGCCCCATCCCTGGCAACACCCCAGGTCAGGTTGGACGGGGCTCTGAGCAACCTGCTCTAGTTGAAGATGTCCCCGCTCACTGCAGGGGGTTGGACTGGATGGCCTTGAAAGGTCACTTCCATCCAAACTCTTCTGTGATTCTAGGATTCTTTTGGGCTGAGGGGGGAACGCTGCCGGTGAGTATGGGACACATTGTAGGATGCTGGGGAGGCACAGCTGGAGGTTGCACAAGATTTCTTGCAGGATTTTCCCAAAGTTGGGAAAGGGAGGGATCTAAGTGGATTGTGGAGGAACAAAGGTGGAAAAATAGAGGGATAAGGGGATAAAAGAGGTTAGCTGCATGGAAACAGGCTGCTGAGTGGTATGGTTCTCTGGCTATGCCCTGCGCCTGGTCACTGCAGTCTGTCCTGTCGTCTTCTTACTCTCCGCTTTCAAATCTTTTCCTGGGTGATGGTCTCTCTTGTGTGTGCACGTGTGGCTATGGGGGTGCGAGCGCAGCAACTGGCTGCTGGAGGGACCAGGGGGTTCAGGCCGGCTGCCAGAGAGCCCATGGAGTCTGGGGGTCGACCGGGACCTATTTGTACGTGTGTGTGCATGTGTGCTTCTTGGGCAGGAGGCAGACGGGGAGAGCAAGCATTCCGGACCAGCTACTGGAGGGATCCGCACTGTATGTGTGTATTTTATGTATGTATTTGTACCCAACAGACCATCGTCCTGATTTGCCACAGAGGGGAGCAGGACGAGGCCATTGGTGCTGCTTGTATGAGTGCCGAGTGTTTCTGGCCAGCGGGGCCATCAGTGCATACCGTGTTGTACGCGTGCGTTTGTGCAAGAGCCTGCTGGGAATCCACCCTCAGCCTCGCTGCAAGCTGAACCCAGGGGCTGCGGTGGAGCTGTGGTGGCCTCACCTCCGCCGGGCTACCAGATTTAGCAACTCCCTAGCAAGCTGTAATCAGTCATTAAAATATTTGTCCTGAAAGGCAGGATATATTTTTATTGAAGTGTGGGCTTTTGGCAGGAAAGCAGTGCCTGTTCTTGACAGAGATACCAAACAAGCAGGTGAAGAAACGCGGGCTTGGCTCTGGGATCCCATCGCTGTGTGACTGCCCTGTAGTGGATGCCAGCTCCCTGCGCTTGCCATACTTCCCTAGGTAGAAAATAACCAAGGGAGGTGGATTAGTAAAGCAGTGTGGTGGTCAAGTGATTGAGCTAAATGGGGTCTTCTACCTAGAAATAATTCAGAAGCTTCTGGAGGAGAGAAAGACAGCACTTTCCCACTGGGACAGGGTTAAACGGATATTAAAAGGTCATCACGATACCCTACTCAGGATTAGATTAACAGTACCTAAATTACTCTTCAAGTGTTTCTCCAATCTGCTTTTAAATACAGCAGTGCTGAATTTCCATGGGGGATTTGTCCTCTTACCCGACTCTCCCTACTGTTGGAAAGCTTTTCTACATATCTGTAGCTGGAGTCAGAGTGAAGTTTTATTCATACCACTACCACAAGGTGCATGAAGCTGGAGATTTTTTAGCCCACAGAGAAAAAAGAATGTATTTTGACCTGTCTTTATATTTTTGCCTTCTGTATGAAGTATGGATGTTAAAAGGAATGCAGTGGGGCATCCCTCAAAAAACACCTTAGAAAATGCAATCGTTCCTCCTCCAGACATGCCATAAGCCAGATCTAGCTGAGCAAAACCCATGGTTTGAGCTGGCCAGAACTATATGTTGTTATTCATTTACATTGGGATAAGTAACTCCCACGTCTAGGCCAGTGTAACAAATGGTAGGAATCTTCTTAATGGGAGAGAGGAAATCCAGCGTTATGAGAAATGAGCAATAAAACCCCTTTAAATAAAATTACCTTTAACATTTTTTTTACTTTTAATAAAGTTGAAATATACAAATATATATATAATATACAAAAATTATTGTATATTAAAGGAGACTTTCAGGAAAAAACCCATAGAAACTACCACATTGCAGCCAAACCTTTTTTGATACTTTTGAGGAAAGTGTAAGCATTTTCCCTGAAATCAAAAATTTCTTGTGGAAATTTAATATTTGACAGAATACTCATCAAAACCTTTTGAATTAAAATTGTTGACCTACTGCAAGCGAACCTTCTCCAGTCAGCACGCTGAGAAGATAACCCATCGTATCAGCAGCCACCTCCCAGAATAATCGCAACTTCTTTTATGCCTTCCCTCTAACGAGCCTCACTGAAGGCCCCTCTCATCTGTACTTAGCGGTCAAGTATTTCAAGTGGTCTCTTTCTTTACGCTAGTAAGAGTATTCCATATCTTTTCTGTGCCACTGATTGTCACAGAAACCAGAAGTTTCGGCTTAGCACGTATACCTCCTGAAAATAGATATCTGGGGACTAAGAGATACGGCTGTAGCCATTGGGAGGTAAGCTAAAAATAATGACTTCCCTTCAAAAAGAAATTAATTCTAAGGCCCTAGCTCTGTGCTGTGCTTAGGCACCCTGGCAAGCAAAACGTGACTTAAGCACATGTTTTGCTTTAAACAAACACTTAAAATGGATTTGCAGAATAAGAACGGATTTCAGTTTAAGCACACAAAGCCTAAGTGCTTTGCTGAGCCAGGGTCCAAATGCCTCAGTTGCTAACCCGTTGTTTACAGTTGGTCTTGGCATCCGTGTTGTACTTTTAAAGATATACAAGGGTTTGTGGAAATACTGAGGTAGCTTTGCTCATTTTAGGTGAAACTGGCAAATGTTAAGGGCTTGTAGGAAAAATATTTTTTTTTAAACGGTCACATTTATAGCATAAACCAGTAGGCTTTATTGGCAGCAAGCATCTTTCCCAGTTATTTGGTACGTTCTAAATGTGTGGCTCATCACATGGTAAAA